CTTGCCAGGACACACAATATGATATGTATTAAGCCAGGCTCGTTGGCAGACAACTGTAAATGTATAAGGTTTTTGATTAAAAATAATCAGTCTGCGGACATTTTCATATGTTAAATAGGCGCATATTGTAGTGTATATATTTGAGAAATGCATAAACAGTTAGGTCTCACTTTCCCGATTCCAACAATATGTGGTTGCTAAAGGATTCGTTCAGAAACAAAAAAGTTATGGCCGTAAAATGCAAACATTGAGTCATATCATCTTACTGGGTCGCAGCTGGGAATCCATGTTTGATTAATTTCCACTATAATTTGTCTGTGGTGGTATCCGCCACTAAAATGTTAATTTCTCCGCTTAGAATCGACTTACAGGCTTAAATGAGGTACCATTGGATTTGTAATTTTCATCTCTATCTAGCTGTCATGGTTTCGTAAGTAAAAACCCGAAATATAAAACTTAACTAGCACCCCTACCAATTACGTCACCATTTAGAAGACATAGAAAAGGTGTGGCGGTGGGTGGAGGGGGAAATCAGCCTTATTATATCACTGTCAACGCCATACATACACACACATACACACTTGAGTTAAGTTGAGTCCAGAAATAACATCACAGCACTAGAGGCATTCCCTTGCGTGCTCCGTCCTCATCTTCAGCAGCCAGCGCAGAGTTCCAATACTGATGGTACCGGTCACAATCTGGTTATATGTCCGTGTTGCTTTCCTCTGAGTATAGTGAGCTGGCCAGACCCTCTGGTTACACTCAGGGGCAGAAATTCTCTCCCTGCCATATTAATCTTGTTTCTCTACTGATTCCGTTGTTTGTTCCCAAAGGGCGTTGACCACATCTGCCTTGTCATGTATCAATTCACCACCCTGTGGTGCAGATCCAGCCAGTTTGTCTGCCTGTTCATTGCCCACTACGCCGGCAAAGCCTGGTGAAAAGATTCAAAGTATGCTCACTCCCCACAACCTCTCCAGTGAAGCTTTCCACTCTGCTCGAAGCATCACTGTCTTTACCTTTCTCAACATACTTTCTGAGTCTGTTCCAATTACGCCATGTGCATGCATTTTGTTTTCTAGCCACCGGAGAGCTGCAGTAACCTCCCCCCCCCCCCCCCCCCCCAACCTCCATTCTCATGCTAAATGTTGTGGTGTCATGTGCTAGGCTGTTCTGCACTAAAGATTTTCCATAGGCTTTTGCTACGAACCACCAGGCACTTCTCTTTCCTCTCAACACCGAACCATCTGTATAGATAGCACACACACTATAAATGTCAAACATGGACACTGTCCTTGGAAAACAGGAGGAGAATAGTCACGACAGAAATTAAATGTTTACAAACTGTGCTAGATGTAACAAGCAAAGATCGACTTATGAACGATCATATTAGAAGGAGAGTCGGCACAGAACCAATACTGAACTTTATAGTTAGACAACAAATCATATGGTTTGGTCATGTAAAAAAAGACTGGCGTCAGACTTGGCACAACAGAGAGCAATGTTATACAGATACAGCGGTAATAGTCCCGAGGTCGATTATGCAGCATATGGACCCCAGAAATATCAGACACTGAAAAGTACTTTATATAAAGCGAATATAAGGGCCCGTTCCAGAGATCTCATCCTGCTCTGACTCAGCGGGGCATTCCAGTATAGAAAAGAAGAAGAAGAAGCCACACACAAAAACACACACTCACACAACCCCACACAGATACACACATACAGACAAACAGACAGACAGACAGACATACATACATACATACATACATACATACATACATGCATACATACATGCATAATGCATGCATGCATACATAATGCATGCATGCATACATACATACATACATACATACATACATACATACATACATACATACATACATACATACATACATACATACATACATACATACATACATACATACATACATACATACATACATACATACATACATACATACATACATACATACATACATACATACATACATACATACATACATACATACATACATACATACATACATACATACATACCATACATACATACATACATACATACATACATACAGACATACATACATACATACATACATACATACATACATACATACATACATACATACATACATACATACATACATACATACATACATACATACATACATACATACATACATACATACATACATACATACATACATACATACATACATACATACATACATACATACATACATACATACATACATACATACATACATACATACATACATACATACATACATACATATACATACATACACTACATACATACATACATACATACATACATACATACATACATACAATACATACATACATACATACATACATACATACATACATACATACATACATACATACATACATACATACATACACACACCCCACCACACACACACACTCACTCAAACACTACCCCCCCCCCAACCCACATACAACCCTCCCCGTCCTCCCCCCCCCCCCCCACCTTTTCACACATACACACACATACACACAAATACAAACGTAACACTATTGCAGTTGTAATGTACAGCCAACTTCAAACATGTACCAGCGTTTTATTTGATTGAAAATGTTTCACTCTCGACATGAAGAAACGTTCGACCTGAACAATGCAGAGATGTTCATTACATCTGCTTTGCTCTTCTATTCCTTGAGAATTAGACCTCTTTATCATTAGAGTGTATGGACTCCTCTTGTCTCTGTCATAGAGCGGCATCTCCTTGGCATTCATCTAGTATATTGGATCTGTTGTTATGTGAGGGCTTTCCAATCTTCTCTTAATGCAGGCGACTACTGCTGGAGATGAAGTGGAGCCACGTCTCGCTGACGGACTCCTCTGCCGAGTTCATCCTATAAGTGTTTTATGAGGTTCTTGTTTGATTAGTTATGAGTTAGATTATCTTCACAGCACTCCGGGCACATCCATAGGCGCTCAGATTCCCCTCTCAACATATTCATCAGCGTCGTGCGGTTAATAGTACCAGTCATATGTTGGTTAACAAGACTTCGTGTGTGTCCAGTGTGCTTCTCATGATTGACTGTGCCGATCTTTACTCCCAATTCGCGTATTCTTAGAAGTGATGTGGACACGTTGCTTCCAAAATCCCCAGAACGTCTTATCTCTCTAAGGGCAATGACAATGTCTGCGTGATCCATGAGTCGGCCATCTTCAATTAATGCAGTGCCTGCCAGTCTATCAGCTCTCTCATTAGAAACAACACTTGCATACCCTGGTACGAATATGAAAGTAACTGCACACACAGGAGAATTCTGCAATGACTCAAGCCACTGTCTGCGTATCCAGCCTGCCTTGACCCACCGGATCCTGCTCAAAGAATCACTCAGCACCCACACGCGGAAATAGTCCTATGATCCCAGCCACATGAAAGCCTGTGTCACCGCCATCACCTCCATCGTCATGCTGCTGGTGGTCATGGAGAAGGCACCGCTGTCTTCCTTAACTGTTCTGCCTGAAGAGCGAGCTGTAAATGCCCATGCACTCTTATGTCCTCATTTAACGGACCCGTCTGTGAAGATCACCACATCTATCTCATCTGACTTGTCACTCATAAGCACGCATACCTCTGCACTGACAGCAGCTGGATTCTGCTCCCGACAATTCCCGACACAGGAGAATGTGAGAATGGGCTCTTTAGGCTTTTGTATCCACTTCTCGCCTGGATGGATGTCTGTTAGGCTGCAAACCTGCATGATGTCATCCTCTGCCCTACCCAGCCATGATTTGCCCCTTTTAAGCCTATTGCCCTTTTTCTTGAAGAGCATGTGGTGCAAAGTGTGCTTCAGATCTGAGCTTATTTTCAGGTATGCACGAGCCCTCCAGATCTTGATCCTGTAGTTCATGGTAAGGAAGTCAAGAAGGTACCTCATTGCTACACAAGAGGTGTCTCTAGTGCACCTAGAATAATTTGCATTGCTTCATTTTGCACCTTTTCCAGCCTTTCTGTCTGCGTATGGCTGACAGTGAGGATGGCAAGAGCATATTCGATGGGAGAAAGTACAAGTCCCTGAAGCAGAAGCAAAAGCAGTCTCTGATCAGTGTTAGCGGCAGCCAGGACTCTCATTGCTGACAGGCCTTTGCGTGCTTTTGTTATGACATGGTCAACATGTTCTTTGAAGGATAGGCTGCGATCAAACCTCACTCCTAGGTATGTCATCAGATTTGTTCTCGTCAAAATTGCCTCGCTACTTTCTACTGCTGGTAAGTCTGCCTTAACTAAATGCGTGTTCAAGGAGAACCACGTTACTGGGGCCTTCGTAGGGTTGACATGAGCATAAGAATCTGCACACAAGGAGGAGATGTGATTTAGTTCACTCTGTATTGACTTAGCAATCTCTTGACGATCTCTTCCATGTCGATATACTAAGAGGTCATCAGCAAATGACATGTTTGATGACATGTCTGGCCATTGAAAAGTCTGGATGGCGTGAACCTAGTGGTAAGTTGTAACACTTGAAGTCTAGAACCTAGCGTTATCGTTATGAATGCATGAATGAATTAATGAATGAACGATCGATTAAATAAATCAAGAAGGGACATTCCTGCACTAGGGACATTCCCACAGGCCCGACGTCTCCTTCATCAATAGCCACTGAAGAGTCACTATGCTAATAGTACCAGTTGCAAGCATCTATGTTTTCCCCACAGCCTCCTGCTCACCCCTCGATGAATAAGTCTATCAATGTATGGATACTTGATCTGTTCTTTTGCACCGTCCACCTGATCAAAGAGAGCTTTTACCACTTCAGCTTTATCATGGCGTAGCTCGCCACCTAGAAGATCGGCAGCAGCCAGCATATCAGCTTAATCATTGCCCTGCAGGCTTTGCGTGCTAGTGCTTCTATTGATACACCTCCACGGACCTAACCGGCCAAGAGTTATGTTATGTTATGTTCGGAGCCTGAATGCGCGTAAAAGGGTCCTTTGTTTATTACTTAAAGATACTTGGAAATCGTTGACACTGTTGTACGAGCCGTGGGTATAACTGATTCTTAAACTTGAGAATGCTCGTATCCATGATGACCTTGCTTTTTTTGGGATAGTTTCTGTAATGATGAACTAGCGCCAATTTATCGTTCACTAAAACAGAACCCGTGTTCTTCACAAAAGAGTGCACATAATGAACACCCGCCACATTTACAAACTCTGGGCGAGCTATATATTTCGTTCTACGATACTCTGGAAATATTTTTATACCGCGCCAAACCTGAGACAGTGTTAGGAATTTCAGTTTCTCAATGTTGCTCTTTTCTTCATCAGAAAATGAAAATTGTGAAAGAATTTCCGTCCAATTTGTAATGTTGCTAATTTTGAAGAAACTTGATCTAAAGTCAAAGCTTCCAGTTGTTTTAAACCGTTTTCTTGATGGGTCTGATGGATGCATCAAAGCCGAAACGTCGTGTTCTTCAGGGGAGATAGTATCAAGTAACTCCATCCAAGTAAAGTGATTTCTGGGAATGATTAGCTCGTCAGTATCGACAACAACCACAAATCTGGAGATGTTGCGGTTTCGGTAAAAACAGTCATTCAATGCAGCCATTTGTCCATAGGAATGGACATCCAGGGTTGGAACCGGCCATGGGAGAACGGTGACCAGACCATCCTGCTGGTAGCGCTGGAGAATTTGGTCAACAGCCGGGGAGATGCTGTAGTTGTACACCACGAAGTGCTCGGCGCCAAGTATCTGGTTCATTTCTAGAGACTGGATGAGCTGGGACGTCGACTTGTAGCCGCTGTGTAGAACTGAGTAGCAGACGGTGAAGTTTCTGATGAGAGTTCCCGGGTAGATGATCTGGAGTCGATTGATTGCTGTGATATTTGTCTGAAAGCTGATGGAGACATGCGTGGGTCGCACATTTACTGGCAGGCTGCAATCTACGTAACTCGCGGTGAAGCTGGAAAGGTATAAAACATAACAAAATAATAAGGTAATTGTACTTATATTATCTGCGCTACTAGCGCCTTTAGAAAAGTTATCTTTATTATGACTGGTAGAAAATTATTATATTATTATTATTACAGCACTGTAGAAAAATTAATATCTGGCCGTCAAAACCATAGCGAAGAAGTTAATTTTTTGTTTTTAATGTGAAAGAAAACAAAAGTTATGTCTTTGTAAAATACAGCATGCTAAATACTTATCACAATCAAAAATTAGGAAATAGAAAATGTCACAGATTTCGAAAACTTTTTTTTAGTGATCAACAGTAGCGACTGCTAGAAAGAAGTCAGAAGAAGACTTGCATTAACAATGCAGAGATTAAACAGCATAAAGAACAAATGGCAAAGCATTTGTGAATTAAAGAAAAATCTTGAGATCATGCATTTTTCCAGCGGTAACTTCGTGAGTCCTGGACTCTCACTCAATCACCAAGGAAATAGATTGGAGCTTTTGAATTAAAATTTTACAGAAAAATTATTAGTATACCACATTAAACCTAAAAACTCAACAATCAAACAACAATCCAACCAACCTGTGAAGAAGAGGGAAAACATCGACATTCTACACGAGTCAACATTAAGGAGAACTTGCTCATAAACACCATTCTGTCCCGAAAGTCCCGAATTGTCATGGGGGCTGGGAATAGTCGGTCCTGGAGGGTACGATCTGTGGAAGGCGAGGCCGGGGTGGACCACCGCGAAGATGGATACAGGATATTGAAGATGCATTGGCACTGAAAGCACATGGGGTTCGAGAGGTGGCTAGGGAAAGAGATACTTTCAGGCGTGCCGTGAAGAGAGCGACGTTCTGTTAAGGACTTTCTGATTAATGATGACTAGCGCTATTCGTGGCCACTCACAGCGAAGCAGAAAATAACAATAGTAACCATGGAAGTTAGATGCCCGAGCAGAGTTGCAGGAGTAAGCAAAAGAGATAAAATCAAACATGAGGTCAAGAGACTAAAAGTCATCACAGAACCAGTTCTAAATTACATATAAAGACAGCAAATCACTTAGAGAGAATACCTTATAACCTTATACCATACAAGGCATACAGCAGAAGAGGAGAACGACGTAGAGCACAAATTATAACGAGATAAAAGGATAATATCAACCACACTGTACAGACTGCTTGAGAATCTCCTGCTAGCAGTACGCAATTTTATTTCTCCAATTTTCCTTTCTCTTCCTTTTACTGTGTTCCATTTTACAACTGCGCCTCCCCTCAGTTCACGGTCTCGGCTCTATTACCTCCTTGTTCTGGCGTCTCGATGCGCAAACAGTCGTCAAGATACCAGCTCTTTAACACAGACTCCTCAAGCCAGAGTGGGAGCGTTTAGCCGCTACAGTACCATGGTCCCTATGTAGATTTGAGAGCCAGTGGTGCATTGGGCATATGCGACTAGACATATTTATAGACCAATCGGCCGTCGATTTTTTAAGTCTACTGTGCTCCACCAATATTCTACAGACCAATCGTCAATCTATGGGTGGGGTCTACTGTACAAGACCTATATTCTACAGACCAATCGTCACTCGGTGGGTAGGGTCTGCTGTACTAGACCTATATTCTATAGATCAATCGTCACTCGGTGGGTAGGGTCTGCTGTACTAGACCTATATTCTATAGACCAATCGTCACTCGGTGGGTAGGGTCTGCTGTACTAGACCTATATTCTATAGACCAATCGTCACTCTATGGGTAGGGTCTGCTGTACTAGACCTATATTCTACAGACCAATCGTCACTCTATGGGTAGGGTCTGCTGTACTAGACCTATATTCTACAGACCAATCGTCACTCTATGGGTAGGGTTTGCTGTTCTAGACCTATATTCTACAGACCAATCGTCACTCTATGGGTAGGGTCTGCTGTACTAGACCTATATTCTACAGACCAATCGTCACTCTATGGGTAGGGTCTGCTGTTCTAGACCTATATTCTACAGACCAATCGTCACTCGGTGGGTAGGGGCCGCTGTTCTAGACCTATATTCTACAGACCAATCGTCACTCGGTGGGTAGGGGCCGCTGTTCTAGACCTATATTCTACAGACCAATCGTCACTCGGTGGGTAGGGGACGGGCTGTCTATGACCTGTATTCTACAGAACAATCGTTGACTCTACTGGGTAGGGTCTGCTGTTCTAGAACCTATTATTCTACAGACCAATCGTCACTCGGTGGTAGGGTCTGCTGTTCTAGACCTATATTCTACAGACCAATCGTCACATCGGTGGGTAGGGGGGCCGCTGGTTCTAGACCTATACTTCTACAGACCAATCGTCACTCGGTGGGTAGGGGCCGCTGTTCTAGACCTATATTCTACAGACCAATCGTCACTCGGTGGGTAGGGACGGCTGTTCTAGACCTGTATTCTACAGACCAATCGTGACTCTATGGGTAGGGTCTGCTGTTCTAGACCTATATTCTACAGACCAATCGTCACTCGGTGGGTAGGGACCGCTGTTCTAGACCTATATTCTACAGACCAATCGTCACTCTGTGGGTGGGGTCTACTGTAGTAGACCTATATTCTACAGACCAATCGTCACTCTGTGGGTAGGGTATGCTGTTCTAGACCTATATTCTACAGACCAATCGTCACTCTGTGGGTAGGGTCTGCTGTTCTAGACCTATATTCTACAGACCAATCGTCACTCTGTGGGTAGGGTCTGCTGTTCTAGACCTATATTCTACAGACCAATCGTCACTCGGTGGGTAGGGTCTACTGTTCTAGACCTATATTCTACAGACCAATCGTCACTCTGTGGGTAGGGTCTGCTGTTCTAGACCTATATTCTACAGACCAATCGTCACTCTGTGGGTAGGGTCTGCTGTTCTAGACCTATATTCTACAGACCAATCGTCACTCTGTGGGTAGGGTCTGCTGTTCTAGACCTATATTCTACAGACCAATCGTCACTCTGTGGGTAGGGTCTGCTGTTCTAGACCTATATTCTACAGACCAATCGTCACTCTGTGGGTAGGGTCTGCTGTTCTAGACCTATATTCTACAGACCAATCGTCACTCTGTGGGTGGTTTCTACTGTGCTAGGCCTACAAATTGTAGATCTGTCTGCACTCTGTAGGTGGGGTCTACTGTGCTAGAACTACAATTTGTAGATCTGTCCGCACTCTTAGGTGGGGTCTACTGTGCTAGAACTACAATTTGTAGATCTGTATGCACTTTGTGCGTGGTTTCTACTGTGATAGGGTTATATTTGACAGAACAAAACTATCCAAATAAGTTTACTCAGGAGCCAATATTTTGAAAATTGAGATCGTCAAAAGCCAGCATAGAAAGATCAATAATTTAACACAACAAGCAATGATCTGTTTGCAGCTTGCTAGGTCTCCATGGCATATACTTGGCACGTGGGCCGCTAATTGAATATCCCTTTTTTAGAACAATAAGTAATCAAGGAGGGAATTTAGTCAATTGGGTTAAGTCAATTGTCATCATAGACCTCGGGACATTTCCATGTGTGCTCCGTCATCATCTTCAGCAGCTAGCGCAGAGTTCCAATAATGATGGTACCTGTCACAATCTTGTTATCTGTCTGCCGGCCAGACCCTCTGGTTACACCCAGATGCCTCATTCTAGGCCGGAAGTGCAGAGAGTGACCAGCGGGTGCTACGAAGACCGGAAGTCCAACAGTTGATTCATGACAATTCACGCCCATTTGATCCAATTATCAATACAGATGGTTCGGTGTTGAGAGGAAAGAGAAGTGCCTGTGGGTTTGTAGCGAAAGCCAATGGAAAACCTTTAGTGTAAGACAGCCTAGCACACGACATCACAACATATAGCATGAGAATGAATGTGGAGTCGGTAAGTACAGCTCTCCGGTGGCTATGAAACAAGATGCATACACATTTCGTAATTGTAACAGACTTTGAAGGTATAATGAGAAAGGGAAAGGCAGGCATGCTTAGAACAGAGTGGCAAGCTTTACTTTGAAGGTCACGAGTAGTGAGCACACTTTGTATCTTTTCTCCAGGTGCCGGCGTAGTTGGTAATGAACAGGCAGACAGTTTGTCTGGATCTGCACCATTGGGTGTTGAACTGACACACGACAAGGCAGATGTTGTCAAGGCCCTTTGGGAACAAGCAACGGAATTTAGTCAGTACCTGGCCAGTGCCCTTTTCTTCTGCAGGGGAACTTCCTGCAAATCTTTTCAAGATGGCTTTGCCACGGGAGACAAGCCAAGTGTAAAATTATGCACAAAGAAACATAACAGGAGTAAAAGAGATATCTAAATCTTACTTTTTCCCTTGCCTTTCGGGTAACCCCGTTGTATTTCCACCCGCCTGAAGATTACTGCTGTTTCCTATGCTGAAAGTGCAGTAGAGTTGTTGCAAAAGGTCATGTCTAAAGATGCCAATAATGCGAACAAAGGGTTTTCCTTGCTGGGCGGCTACATGGTCGAAGTAAGCAGAGTAGATCCACGCGTTTTTGTCATCGATTGGTAGAAAATTTTGGGTTTTTTCATGTTCTGTTGGCGGTCTGTGGCAGATTATATATATATATCATATATATATATATATATATATATATATTATATATATATATATATATATATATATATATATATCTAATATATATATATATACATATATATTATATATATAATCTATATATATTATATATATATACTCATATATAAAGAAATAACAAAAACTGTGAGAAGCGTATTTGATCTACATGGTGACCGGTGGTAAGGATGACTGAAAAAGAATGAGGAGAAGG